GAATAATAAGTTTAAATCATAGACACCAATTAATGACGTGGTACATAATTTCGAATGGAAACATTTGATGTTTTTATATTTATTTTAATAAATAATCAAGCAGTTAATAATGGAAAAAATCGTAATTATTTTTAGCTACCTATACATATTTCTAATTAGGAATCATCATGGAGACAGCAACTTTTTGAATATATACCATAATTTATAAACTAGAAGCAAGAAGCCCATAATGGGCACCACCACAATTTATAACAACTTTCGATCGTTGTGAAGGAAACCAAAAATCGGTCTCAGGAATCTTTACTGAGGCTCACAGTACGAGAAAATTCCAGCCAGAGGACAGGCAGCGATGCGGACGGAAGTCGTCCCTTGCAATGCACGAGCGCCGCATTTCCACTCGACGCCTGAGAGTTTTGATGCCAGAGAAGACGTGTATATTCTACTCTCGTTTCATTTCTTTGAGAGCCGCAGGAGTTTTATGTGTCAAATGCACAGTAGGGAAAAACTCCAGCGAGTCTCCGAAAAGACTGTCTGCTGATTGCGGGCTTAACAATCTTCATCACTTGATATCAAGTGAAAATATGCAAAGCATGCATGTATACCTGAGCTTGACAGTTTCATATAAACTCAGATATTAATTCTTCAATTAACTTATAATATTTCGCTATTAAAAATAAAAAAAAATATTCACCAAGTATAGTATTTCGAAAGCTGACTCGATCATCAACGGCAAACGCATTAAAAAATATAAATATAGAAAATTTCCCAGTCGCATCACGAATGCAGCTCACGTCTGACCTACAGCACAAGTATGTGGTGACCTCACGCGTGTTTGCCGATAGCGTCCCGTAATAGGGGCAGTTTTAAAAGTGCATTAGCGAGCGTCTCGGGTGACCCGAGAAACAGCATCCCCGGAAAGAAGATCTCGCATGCACCACAGGACAGCATTCCCTAAGTTGGTAATGTTTAGGGCACTTAAAAGTACCTTAAGCTTATCAAAGTCTGTTTTTAAGTTCCCGCACAACTTTCACCTCTCGTGGAATTACGAGCAGCATATTTTCCCGGGAGATTTTCTACGGCAGTATTTTGCGGTCGTGTATAATGGCGCTGTCCCCGGTGCACTCAGCTACCTCTTTGAAGCGGCGGTTTTTTCTATTTTATAAGCTTCCACAATAATGAAATTTACATTCAATCGCCTCTTTATGGGAGTTTATCTGTAAATTTCCTACGGATGTTTTGTTGTGTTGTTTCCCTTCCAGCTTGAGCAAAAAGGCTTCTGAAGAGTTCGCCAGTTTTAATTTATTCCACAAGATTTTTGGAAAATGTAACAAAGAATTTTAAAATCTAGGATAATAATAATAGTTTAATAAAAATTAATGCGTATTATAAAAATGAAATAACGTCTCAGCTCAATTCAGATCATTCTTAGTTTTGATTTCAACAACCGAAAAAACTATAACATTAACACTCAAAAATTTATGTGCGTCATCAAAGCTCATTGACCAGTCGCATTAATGATTTTCCATCTGTCCGTGACTCACATCCGTGCATCACTCATGACTTACTTAGAATGAGTAATAATTACAGATTAAAAGTGAGTTTATGAACGCTGTAAGTTAGGAAAAATTACTACATTGCATCTCCACCGAATTAAGAACTGAAGAGGTCATCTATTCTAGTTGGGCAAATTATTATGGCAGCTTAGAAACAAAAATGCACTGAATCGCCTTTAATTTGAATAATCGAAATCACCTAACACTCATACATTTCGGGGGAAAAACTTTGCTTGACTCAAACTCCAATTAACTTTAAGCTGAGCCTCTTTTCCTCATGCAATTTAATTTCACCTATTAGCACTCCAAAAAATGCTATAGCATTTTGTATTTACATTTTAAGATCAATTAAAAAACATTTAAGCGAGCGAGCCTGCTTGTTGATACTGCCTTGTGCTAAAACGAAATGCAGTGCTGGCATCAATAAGAGTTCAGTTTATACATAAATTAGTTATAGTTGTATTTTTTACTTTAGTTATATCCATGAAATGTGAACTTATGAGTTGGTTATGAACCATGTCCGCCATAAAAACTCAACCATCGATATCTACCTTAGCAAGCCGACGCAAGAATAATTCAGGATCGATGAAGGTAGACGCAACCAAATTTTTTTTGTGCAAAAATAAACCATATGCATCTGTATCTCCAAAATGTAGACATAAATTGATGAAACCCAACACAAGAGACGATGCACAAGATGGCAGTCTGTCAACCCTTGCCCTACAGCACCAGCAATTGAGAGTATTTGCTCTGTTAATGACTGCTGTTGTTTGGCAGTGTACGGCTCCTTCTAATTGGCCTGTTCAACTCCAAGCGGACATGACAGAAGAGCATTTCTCTGTCACGCACTGCACGAACATCGTCGTCATACGCACTGCACGAACATCGTCGTCATGCACAATTACTTCACTCAGTACAAAGCGTTCGTGGTGCTTAAAAGTTAAACTGTGACGCTATTTGACTGTGTCGCAAGAACCTTTAATTTGCATGGACGGTTGCCGTAAGAATTTAAACATTAATTGAGATACAACACTTCATGGACTCGTTATGCCATGGATTCTAATGGGTTTTTCTTCTAGACAATGCCTGCTGTCTGTGTTAGTGCATCTAAATCGGAATTATCGAGCTTAACTTTTACTCTATTGAACACTTTTAAAAGTAGAAAGTACAATTCAATAGTTTGCAATGCTCTAAAAACTAGTGACTTTTTTAGATAAAGAATAGTCACTGCCACCTTAATAACTTTTTGAGTAAGCACTTAGCAAATGATTCGATATTTATATTCAAATCAAGCGCATAACTTCAATGTAGACGGCTAAATGGTTAACGGTTAAACGCGTGTTTGTATCATTAGTTCTTATAAAACACATAGCAACAAAAAATATAAATCGAATGAAACGTCAGCCAAATTAATTCTACAAGTTTCGAACTGATGATGACGCTGCTCTCTATAACGTTTTCAATAAAATTACGGTGAATTCGCTCGTTTTTTTCTTTGCTTTGAAATTCATCCCGGTTTCAGTACCGTAGATTCTCATTTATGTCCACGACCCAAAACTGCCAGTATTAAAGCTCTCATTTGACTGCTTCTCTTGGTTTATTGATGGGGTCTGGCGACCGCATGCAGACATTGAAAGCGAATTGATGGCAAGAGTCGTAGGCTAAAGGCCGGAGTGCGGACGCTGTTCGTGCCGGGCATGCTAATCCGAGCCTACACAGCAGGTAACACGGAACCAAAATTGGTCTCGGTCCCGTTTACACTTTTATTAAGCAAATTTCAATTTATAACACCAAATTATGTTAGTTTCGTTATTTATCTTTCAACTGAATTGATTTCTAATCGTTTCATAATCGTCAAATCAAATTTAAAAATAAATTTTAGTTTTAATATAAAGGCAGGCACTTATACATGATTTTCAAGTTGTACAAATAATAATGGAGCAACGGTTGCATGTTATACATATTTATAACTCAATGCATTAGTTCCAATTTTTCAGCTACATTTATATGACATTAAATGCATGGGATATCGTTTCAAGTCTTCATATTAAGCTTTTTACTCAATTCATTGCAGCTATAGGCCCAAGCATTCTTTCAACTTCACGTACGGCTTGTGATCGTTCATCTGACCCAATGTTACTGCCCCCAAGATTTCTGGAATAAGCAAAATTTTCTTGCGAGTCTAATACAAGTTTTACCTTTGGAAATCAAGTGTGAGGCTTAATTTAGAGCTTTCTTGTGAATACAGTTAATATCTAAGCAGAAGAATTCTAACACTATGGAGATATCAGGCGCCATTTAAGAATTCAAGTCAATGAAGAATTAAATAACGAAAGTACAATGCTTTTGATAGTGGATTTATAAGCAGTGCAAGACACATGCAGTAATTAAACTTTCGTATCGTACCATAGTCACACTACACACAGCTTCACGTGGCACAATGACGCCTATATCTTATTGGCAAGAACATATTAAAAAGTTTCCCTTAAACCCTTATCGCAAAATAAAATACTGCAAAAATTTTGCATTCCTATGCAACAATTAACACAGAAACAAATCTCGGATTGAAATTCGGTTTCCTTTTTAAAATTATTTTCTGAGTGAAAAATTGTTAGCATTCGCTAGCGGGACTGAAGAGACGCTATGTTTGATTTCCTGACATCTTGCTACGACACTGAAACTTCCCCCAATTATTGAGCGCCATAATGATGCTATGGAGAGATCAATTCACCATTAGAGGCGGCATTAAGTGTACCTCAGGAAGCATTAGGTAACAAATACTCAAGCTATAGTCTTTACTAAACAAACACAATGTTACTTATGTGGGAACACCGACACTCCTGCCTGGGCCTACACTTTGATGAATAGATTCGCCAGAATCACGAAATTCAAATGCAAATTGAAGTTTTTTCATTGTTTGCGAAATTTTTAATTTTCATTCAAGTCTTCAATTGAAAGGATAAAACATGAAAGTTATTAATGAATTGATTGCCATCTGCTTCACATGCAATGGGTGACAACGGTACTAGTGAAATAAAGTGCTTATGAATGTTTGCCTGATTAATAGGGTTTACTTTCTTTGAAAAATCAATGTTTCGCTATGCTCAGCCAAAATGTCTTAATCATAAATAAATCCATGATTTTAATACGCACCATATTATTAGTTATTAATATCAGTTGGCATGTTAATTCTTATTATCTCTAAAAATAATTTATTGTTATTTTAAATTAATGAGCAAATATCTACAATCTGTTAAGCTTAATTTCAACTTATTGTGAGTAATACGCCGAGTCCATGCGTCTAGGGTAAGAGAGTGTGGACAGCTTAAATAAATATTCATGTCTACATAAATGCGCTTTATCAACATACATAATCCGCTTGTATGATTATGTTAGTTACAATTGATGTTTTTTTTTTCACCCGCACACCCGTCTTGTCTCCCGCAGACAAGCATGAGACTCGGCATTGACGAGCCGACATGACGCTCTTCGTGAGACTCTTCCTGCTGCAGCCCATCCTCTTCTCCTCAGGTGATGATCTTGGACCGCTATTGAATAATGTACATTCCATTAACTTTCCCGGTACCATTGAGCCAATAATGTAACCTAGGACCTCTACTGTGCATGTATTACTAATTTTTCGGTTGCGTATTTGCAATGTTATTTATGAGCAAATAATATTATATATGTGACCAAAAATACTATCTAATTTCAGCTCAAATTTTACTTTTGCACACATACTTAAAACGAGCTTCTCTTATACTTCTGAATTATTTCAGTAATTAGATTTTAATGGATAAAAGTAGTCGAATAAGTGATGTAAAAATTATTCTCGTTCCATAGCGTGGTCAGGAATAAGAGTGCAGGACAGCAGCCACGACACCGACTTGTACCAACAAGATGGCCCCATACAGGACGACAAATCTTATCTCAAGAACATTTCTCCCGCTCCCTCCCTTCCCCCAAACCCTCATACGTTACCTAACCCTTTCAAACTCCCCCCGCACGACGACGATCTCCCTTACCCGTTCACGAAACACTCACAGCAGCCGAGATTGCCGACACGCAAGGCACGCATCAGATTGCCGCCTTTCGTAGACCAACTGCCACCTGGACCCTTCATAGACCCTGAGCGGTCCGGCAACGTCACGGCGCTGGTGGGGCGCCTTGCCACGCTCAACTGTCGCGTCAACCAGATCGGCAACAGAACCGTGAGTTACGCTACGGGGTTTTCTTAGGTTATACCAGAAAAATAAATCGATAGAGAAAACAGTTGGGTTATGACTACAATTAAAAGAAAAAAAAATATAAATTTAATTTGCATTACGTAATAGGCATGATGTTGGAAGGGAAATAGAACATAAATGGAAGAAAGTATAAAATACAATAAAAATTATGTATTGCAAGACTTTCAAAAAGAAACATGGCTCAAAGTAGCAATGAAAAAGAGACGACAGCACTCGTGGCCAATTAAAAAAATGAGGGGTTAAAAATCTTTTCTCACTAGAACTGCAGTTATGTAGCTGGAAAAAAAATATTAAACGTGAATTACATTTCGAAAAAATTCCTGAGATCACATACTCGGAAAAACGCCGAGCACAGATACCACCATAGCGAATTTCGTACTAAAAACACCATTAACGAAACTACTCTAGAAGCAATGAAATTTTGGTCCTCTTTGAACACTGAGAATTTGTAGTGATCGCAGTCATCTTCCCAGAAGCATTGCAGATATGCTAATATGTAACTTGCCACTGTCAGCGTCACTATTGCACACTGTGTAACAAATTCGATAGTAATCATCCCTATTTCAGAATCAGCACCGATGATGATTATCATCATCACACGAACACCATGTAAATAACTTGTATAACCATCATCAATAATAGTTGAGAGTTAGCTCGTATTAAGCAACTCCATCTTTTTGTGTCAGTTGTACGGATGGTCACGACTGAGCCTCCAGAAATTAATGTAGTTGTTGAACAAAACAGATTTTGTTCATACGGTGGCTATAATTAGAGGTGTGTTTCAATTTAGAGAAGATCATTTTCTCTGTTTGGGTTTCTGTTTTATAGCATTGATTATCAAAGCAGTAAACGATTATCCTTACCTCTTTTGCGGAATTGAAGAAAAGAATACTGAGAAGATTTTTTTTTAGCTCCCAGGTGCACCATTAGCGTTTATGCTATGAGATTCCCCAGCGTTAGACATGCACAGCTCCTATTAATTATGAAGGCATAAGGCGAGGAATTAGTGCGGGATTAAATTAACAAGTCTCGGGCTATCCGTGCGCTGCAATGAAGCCATGCGGGAGCTTGATAAGCTTTGTGCAGCAGCGCCTTGCTTGTGAAATCGAGGGCGGTTTAAAGGCGGCCGATGAATCGCGACCATCTGCCGGAGCTGTTGGAGCTTCAATTTTCAGCAAGACTGTTGTTCTAATATATGTTTCGCAAAAGCATTACTTAGCTCACCTGAAATTGTAAGATATTAGGAGGAGAAAACTTGGCATTTAAGGTGCGCACATATTTTGAACTGAATCTTACGACATTACATTTGCGTGACCAAATTTTGGTGAATTCATCAAGTCGAAACGCATAAAAAAAACATTTAATAATTTTGTACTGAGTCATTGATTTCAGCTCCAGCGGCAGAATATTTTTAAATATGATGCCATGGATTTTCGATTCATGAGCCCGATTAACCCAAATTATATTAATTTAATGCATTAAAAACAGTTAATAAAGTTACGTTTCATAACTTGGCTTATTTTTCAAGTCAGGTTATCCGATTGAAAAATGGTATTATTTCTCATCTTTACGAAAAAAGTTCAAATGCGAGGGTATACAGTGGGGGGAAATAAATATTCGTACACTTGAAAAATCGTATTTTAATGTATGTAAGTACACAAACTTAACAGGAAAAGTGATTTAAATTATGTATAGAGACGCATAGTATTCAAAAATACTATCAAAAGAAATTAAATCTCAATGTAACAAAAAACAATGCAACATGTTCACTTTTCGGGTGAAAAAAGTATTCGTACAAAACAATAAATCCGCATTATTTTAATTTAATACTTGGTTGAATACCCTTTATTCAGCTCAACAGATACCAGTCTGTTTCTATACGTCTCGACCAATTATTTGCAGATGCTGACTGGTATTTTATACCATTCTTCTTGGCACACCACCTTAAGATTCTCAATGTTTGTTGGGGACCTTTTCTTAATTTGAATCTTCAAATAACGCAACAAATTTTCAATCGGATTAGTGATTGGATTTTCCAGCAGGATAACGATCCTAAGCATACTGCAAGATCCACAAAGAAATGGTTCGCTGATAGAAATGTACACGTTATGGAATGGCCAAGCCAGTCGCCGGACTTAAATCCGATTGAAAATTTGTGGCGGTATTTGAAGATTCAAATTAAGAAAAAGGTCCCCAACAAACATTGAGAATCTTAAGGTGGTGTGCCAAGAAGAATGGTATAAAATACCAGTCAGCATCTGCAAATCATTGGTCGAGACGTATAGAAATAGACTGGTATCTGTTGAACTGAATAAAGGGTATTCAACCAAGTATTAAACTAAAATAATGCGGATTTATTGTTTTGTACGAATACTTTTTTCACCCGAAAAGTGAACATGTTGCATTGTTTTTTGTTGCATTGAGATTTAATTTCTTTTGATAGTATTTTTAAATACTATGCGTCTCTATACATAATTTAAATCACTTTTCCTGTTAAAGTTTTTGTACTTACATACATTAAAATACGATTTTTCAAGTGTACGAATATTTATTTCCCCCCACTGTATATACGCGACCAAGCACAAGAGTCGCCTATTTGGTATGCTCCTGCTGACTACATTTAATTTATATACCTTGAGAAATCTTATTTACAGCTTACAAACAACTTCGTTTTTCACCCCTCACGGGACAAGGCCATTAAATATACGAGTACGGGTAGGCATCATGAGTCAAAATTCCCTTACAATTTCAGTTAATTGGTTTACTTTTGCGAGCTGTATTAATGTTGCAGGGAATTACGGTTCAATTTTCCTTCGCAGATCCTAATGAGCAGAGAAAACTGAGATTTTCTGAATTGTAATTTTACATATGATTGTATGTGCAAAGAAATTGACGAAACGAATGGATTATATAAGTTAATTTAGAAATTAAAACTAAGAATAGCTTCGAACCAGCTGTTTCACCCTCAGTTCTACAAAACATGACCAAAATGTAGATTATTTAAAGACTTTCATAACAGAAATATAATTATTAGCGCTGATAAAAAAACAAGCGCAGCGTCACATTTTTCTGAACACCCCGCCATAGCAGGGACTGTTTCGCCAGCTTGACTTTTCGACGCAGGTGTCTGGTCATTTTTAGTTTACCTCTTCTTCAACTTGTTCTGCGCAGGTGTCCTGGCTTTCTATAGCTTAATAACCTCTTATTTTACTTGTTCAATCTTCGCAATGGTCCCGACTTTCTATAATTTATCTCTTATTCTATTTGTTCTACCTTCTCAGTTGTCCTGACTTTCTATATTATACCTCTTCTTCTACTTGTTCTACCTTCGCAGGTGTCCTGGCTTCGTGACCGCGACACGCACCTGCTAACGGTAGGCAGGTACACGTACACGAGCGACCAGCGGTTCAGGGCGCAGCACAACACCGGCTCAGAGGACTGGCCCCTGACCATCGAGTACGCGCAGGTGCGAGACTCTGGTGTCTACGAGTGCCAAGTTTCATCCACGCCACCCATACGCCACTACATTTGGCTCAACGTTGTAGGTCAGTGATCCTATAATATCTCCTTTAATATTTTAAACACTTAAATAATCTGTGTTTATCATCTGTGGTAATCGTTGCACACCGTTCTTTTCAAAGCTGCTACATCATTTGGGTAATTTTATAATTAGGTATAATAGGTATGTTGAGCAATGAGCGTTCACACGGTACATTCTATACGCCTGAAATCGGGACAGAAGATATCTTGGAAATCTCGTTCAGCGACGCATACGTCAATACGTTCGACAGCAAAACAAACGGAGGCTTGTGATTCTCGCCGATGTTCACTCTTAGCTTTTATTTTCACCAGCCACTGTTTCTGATTCAGTATTTCGAATAAATAATGCTCGTGTCCGACATATTTAATGCTATTTCAAATTGATACTTTTAATAATCAATTATTAGTTAATACCATCAGCCTAGCGCTTGATCCGGCTCATGCAAGGGGCTCTGCATTGATCGGTTGTAAATCGGACTTTCGGTGTACGTTTACTTCAAAGTTTACAGTTTGATCAAAATGAACTCAATAGAATAAATTAAATACATTTTCCCACACATTCGCGCCAGCATTTCCAGAAGTGTGAGCGGCTGCAGGATGCTAAATCATTGGAAGCCTCATTGACGATGCCGGTGCCGGCCGGACTCAATCCATGCTTGTGCAAGAAAAGCCATTTTGGGGCTCAGGCTGCGGTGCGTGCCTGACTGCACGCAAACGTTTTTTTTCTTAAATCGACTGCGACCAAGAATAAGAAGAAGGCAGATTTTATAATAAATTTGGGTATCAGGAAGAAAAGCAGAAACTTGAATCAGAGATTCGATGAACTACGACAAGATGTGGTCTCTATTGAACATGAACAAGACGTGGTGTAGTATTCTATATGATTCAAGTATCTAAGTTTGTAGATTTGGAGGCCCAAACTTGCAAAGAGAACATTTTGAAGTGCTAAACTTTCTATTCTCTAAGTTTGTTAGCGTGGCTGATCTCAATATTTTTCCTGAGTCGATTCGAGTTCAGCTACTGCGATTGATCCATAAAAAGTTCCACTGATGACGAGTTAAAACTTTTCCTCGGAAAATTTAGGCCTCACTGAGTTTCCCGGCAAAAAGCGATAGTCAAAAATAGTGGAAAATGTAACTCTGAAATCTGTCCTAAAGTTCAGGAGCTTCTGAAGGGAATATATTCTGTTGACGGCCTGCAAGTGCACCGGAAAGACCGTCGGTTTAGAATAAAGTTCGGTTTTTTAGAGAGACAGCAGGAAATTTATGGGGTGACATTTTACTGAGCTTTTGGTCTTCTGTTACCACCCTGCGTACAGCGGGTGCGAAAGTAAATTTGAATGATCCTTCGTATAGAATTGATCATAATTCTGAAGTTTGTGCTAAAGGTGACCTTCAATTAAAACAAGTAAAAATGTTTTATTAGAACAATATAACGTTATTCATTCTCGATTTAATTGTTATTAATTATAACGTGTTCAATGAAAATTCAAACATGTCGGACAACATTAGATGAAAATTTTCACTGGGCATGATTCAGAAGACAGACGCCGTGCTATGCGTTGTGTTTTAGTTTTCACGGAGAAATTACAGCAGACACTCTGCAGTGATGGAAGTTGCACTAGTTCTGTGCGCAATTCGTTAGACAATTCGTAAGGCAATTCGTTAGGCGATTCGTGATGCAATTCCTGAAGTTATAGTGAGGAAATTCGTGAGGCGATACCTTAGTCAATTAGTCAATTTAGGTAAGGAGATTTAACGACTACTAACGTAATACAGTAAAGCAAAAATGAAAGGACACTTGTTTCTTTCAATAGAGGCACACAGAACCACGCCGTTGAAAATACGAGTGAGCGACGTGTAACAGCTGTCAAAAAATTATAATTTGTAAAAGAAATATTCCATTTACATTTTTTCATGAATTTCTTGCCATTTTGAAAGATGAAATTACAACTCTGCGAAAAATTTGTGCGCGCCTTAACTTTTATTCTAATAAATTTATGATTTACAGAAATTTCGGGAATTTTATGATTGAGAGGGAAATTTTTTTGAAGCCTTTGATACCAGAATTGGAAATTAAGCAAGTCAATAATTTTCTTCACCATGATTCAAACCAATCCAAAGTTTCGCCTCACTAGGAATAACGTTTTCCTAATAACATCTGGAATGAACACATACAAATATTTTTCGCGCCGGTGCCTTACCATCACAGTCGCGATGTCCAACGGCGATCGACGCCAGATTGCATGTATTTGACTGGAGGAAGGATCCGCCGGAAATTAAAAGATCCATAATGACGATAATCGTGACAAGAGGACCGCTTTAGACTGGATAACTGCCCAGAATGCAGTAACACAATCATGAGTATTCAAGAAACAAGATACTTAATTGAAGATTTTTTTGAAACTCTGGGCAGAACCTCAGACACAGATCGTGGGTGATCATGACATCTACATCAATAGGGAGAGCAGCATCAACTTGACGTGCATTGTAGACTACACGCCTGAACCGCCTGCCTACGTCATCTGGAAGCACAACGGCAAGGTCAGGCGCTATAAAATAATATGGAGGCATATTGTATAAAATAACTTTGTGTAATTTAGCATATATGGTATCAAAAATATACTAACACAATATTACATGAATCAATATCTGCTATATTCAAGCAAAATCGTAATATCTCAAAATATAACTTCGTACGCGAACATATTAAACCCCCTTATTCACCCAGTTTATTCTATCTTCCTCTTGGAAATAAAATTGTTAAGCCTATAAGTGGCATGAACAGGTTGTGAGCTACGACAGTGAGCGAGGTGGGGTGAGTGTGGTGACGGACAAGGGCCCCACCACCTCCTCTAACCTCATCGTGCGTGGGGCCAGCATTCGCGACTCTGGGGTCTACTCCTGCAGCCCCAGTACGGCCCCAACTGCTGGGGTCACAGTCCATATCCTCAATGGTGAGATTTTATCGAGTCTCTACTTAGTGCTTCGGGTAGCATTTTTACCTATCCGGGCCATCATAATATTTGTGCACAGCAGTTATCGTTTCTTTTGGCTCTAAAGGTAATTAAAATTATGTAGAACGTGTATTTTTACTAGAGTATTTCTTCATGTACGCGTTATAAATTATACTCAGGTATCGATTTTCGATGAAATTACTTCACCTTATTTTTGACTACTTTTTTGATATTCTGAAATTAAGAAAACAGGCATTGATCAAGTGTTCTTAAATAGGCTTCTCTCGCAATTTTGAGGGAAACATAATTATCCGAAGATTGGATGGCGAAGTTTTTATAAAGGGGCATTGTGACAAGTGCATTTATCTTTTTAGATTAATGTCCGACAATTACGTTCATTAAACTAGAATACATCACTTGAGGGGGAACTTTTACGATTGTCTAACATATAAGGAGAGCCTATATACATGCACGATGAAAGTCTTCTGTATATGTGGGTTTAAATGTAGAATCCAACTCTTGCACTGCAGCGTGAAAATTCTCATCAACAGAGTGCCAGACGTAGAAGTTAGCCATGCACAATTAGCTTAAATTATTCCCAGCCGACGATGTCTTAGACGAAGCTCGAAAAGTTTACTTAAACCGCAAAAAATGAGATCGTCGACTGGACGAGAGATGTTCTGATCTTCTGATTAAAAGTCAGAACAATGGAAGTAGAAGGCTGAGTTGTTTGACAATGCTCATCTGCCGGAATGAACGAAATTTCATTAGCATTTGGTACTCAATGCTTGGTAACATCCTAAATATTCATGCTCAAAATGTTGTAGCTTAAACAAACTACTCCATGCAATAGGGTATAAGTATATTATCTGGGCAGACTATTTTTACATTTATTATTTGGCAGCACAAGTACCAAGAAAAAAATATTAATTAATTGTTTATTTGAATCGAGTTTCTTGCCGCGTTGCGTTTCTTGTTCTACTCTGATAGGGCATCTCCTCAACGTTTGAAGAATCATGGCGTTTGCATTCAAACTCGACAACAAATTTGCATGCATGCTCAAATATCTGTCATGGAAAGTTGTTAAAGTCAATTAGGAAATTTCATTTACGGCATCAGTTTTACTTCGAACATCAAATGAATATAAGAATAAAAACAAGCATTAAATATGAAAATGAATAAGCGACATATCACTCGTTTTGAATTTACAGGTGAAATGCCATTGTAAAATTTAATACGGGTTCTCACACTAGTGGAGATCTGCCGTGAAAGTAGCTAAGCCCCATTTAACGGTCTTCTATACTTCAGAAGTACGAATAATGCGCAGCGCTCCGACGATTTTATGTAAGCCCGATGGTTAGTGCTCGGCACTTATAATTTTAGAGCTTAAATTAACGACGGCAACGGTGACTATCCAGCTCCGACAAGCCGTAAGCCCGCCATTTATAATTTTTATTTGGGGACACGAGTTTCAGTAAACTGGATAACATCTTTATACACTCTGGAAATCCAGTCTTATTCAAGCTTTGACTTTGCATTTCGAAGATCGGCGAAATTTTCAGCTGCCATTACAGAATGGCGGAATTGAGTCACGATGTGCTTCTGCTGAAATTGAGCGAAAATAAGGCTAATAAGTTTATAGGGGACTTTCACGTTTTTTTGCAATAAAATAAAAACCACTTTTGTTTTAAGATTGTTATAGGAAGCTAAGTTAAGAAGTAACGGTTTAAAAATATGTCGTAACCTTTCTTCCTAACAGGTTGGAAATTGGTGACCAGATTATATTAGAAATTAAATCTCAATTCCAGCCAAATTGGCTGGTTTACAAGAGACAATTTTCAACCAATTTGGCTGGTTTACAAGACACAATTTTCTAGTCTACTTGAAGCTGTTCTTTATTTTACCGCCTACAGGCGAGCATCCCGAGGCGATGCAGCATGCGGGACACTCCCCCCAGAGGGTATCCATGCTACTGCTGGGCAGCTACAGCCTCGCCCTGCTACTAATGCTTGCTCTTCCCTTCCACTATTGAAATTACTGGTCCCTGTTGAAAATACTGGCCCACCATTGAAAAACCTTGCCTCCCATTAAAAATATTGAGCCCTATTTAAAAATACTGTCAACCCAATGAAAATATTGGCGCCCTATGGAAAATACTGGCCCACCAATGAAAATACTTGCTCGTTATACAGAAAAGTGACTCATCATTGAAAATAATGGCACCCATTGAATATATAGACACATCAGGGAAAATTCATTGAACATACCCCCTCCTCCATTGAACATATTGCTCTCCCATTGAAAACAATGCCCCCCCCCATGGAAAATACTGGCTCTTCCATCGAAAATACTTGTTTCGTTTGAAAAAAATTACTCCCCCCATTAAAAGTTCCGGCGCCCCATAGAAAATACTTGTTTCCCATGGAAAATACAGGTCTGCTCAGCGGAGGACCATAAATAATCTGGACATCACGATTTCCTCCCCATTAAATTATTAGATTGTCACTGCAAATGCAGCGTTTGGTCAGTATCCTTCAAAATCCTGACAAAAAAATGATCCTTGTATAAAATTTAATTGAGTTTGAAAATTAAAGAAAAGCCAATTGCATTAATTTTACTGAAATTTTGCTTAAGGTAAATCAGTTAACTTTTTCTCATATATTTCTCTTTTTGAGCTCCGGCGACGACATCACAAAGATGAACGCTATGTTGGTTAATTGTAAAGTTTTAACGTATCATTTCTATCCTGATCCTGAGTGAGGTCAGAGCTTACAATGTTTTAATCTTGGCGCTTGTGGTGATACTGTATGCGGGAGCTTATCTTCATCTGTTGTCTTGTATCAAATGCTGTCCTGAGAGATATTGTTCGGCCTGTTATCTATACAAAACACTTTTTACAATTTTTTCACAAGAATGTAAATCTGACATCTTTATCTTTATATTATCTGCCAACCAACGTAAGTCTCCAGGGATGTGTGGAATAGTCCAAACTAAGAAGTTGTTGTGTTAATTTTGATAAGTTGAAATAACCATTCTTTATGATCTAGTTTCATTGGAAAAACTGGAGTTTTAAACTGAATAATTGAACAATATGCTGAAATTTTTGCACAGTTAGGCAGACTTGCAATGGCAAGGACCCTACATGATGCGTTCAAATAAAGTAGCCATGCACATATACTGCACTCTATATAGTTCAGAGATCGAATAAGAAATAAAATTTTCGATTTATTAAAATTATTAAAATAAGAAACTTATTTTGTTATGAAAATTCAAATTATTCAGAGATCATATATGAATTAAATTTATCGGTTAAATTAATTTATTTAAGCTTTTAGCTTTATTTTACGGAAAATAATTATGTATTCGAGATAAAATTGCAACTGAAAAATTATTCCTTTCGTATTAGGTAAATACTTAGAGCATTTTCTTTTTCAGTGCATGGTTCCGAAATGTGCTACCAGTTCTAAGCTAATAGTTTTTGGTGTATAGTAAGTATAGTATATTTGTAATTATTTGCACCATTATAAAAAATTTCTTGTCGACCGTTACGAGACTTCATAGTTAATGATTGGTAATGCAGCTGGATCGGCGATAGAGATTTGGGCAAATTTAATTTTTTTTCAAAAAAGGAGTAGATAAATTCTTGAAAAATAGGTAAATAAAAACAAGAATATAAAATTATTGCCTAGCAGCAAACATTTCCCGATCTAAAGCTGTCCAAGCAATTAAGTGTATTGCCAAGATTACGCGGGGACACTGTAAATACTCCATATGAAATTATATCGAATTTGTCTGCAAGGGAATTAATTTATTACAGATGCAATACTTGCTTATAAATATAAATAATTATGTAACATCAGTTTGAGCTTTCAACGCTGAAGTTTCCGATTTTGGCTATCTTTGTGAACGGAATTATGAAATTATCTTGCTTCGATCAGTGCAACGTTCTAAGCATTCTTAAAATATCGTGACTATTCTATAGGCAGTTGTTTTAGCTTCTTTTTCGCTTTTTTTGTACATAATGCAATATTCTTTTGAAGTTTTGATCGAACCCGAGATAGTTGCTCAATGATACAATTAAACATCATCAAATATTTCATGAAATTTCTTTCATATATGAAGACGTGAATAGACTGACACAATGTCGCGAAGACGATAACATGAACGCCACTTGCCTTCGCAATGTTTCGTAAAATCTAATACAACAAACCTAACGTCTCAAAATACTTTCTAGATCCTATGCATTTGAATAAAAGGCAGGAACTTGTAGAATCGGAGTATCGTTGTTGTATAGTTTGTAATTTAAACATTGTAAAAAATATTCTCATTTCTGAGATGGGGATGATTAAATTAAAATGTCCAAAATCATTCGAGAGAATAAAATATTTGAAAATGCGATGGAATTAGATAATGAATTAACAGTTTAAATTAACAGTTTTCATTAACAACGGAAGCTTGCAAAACATATCGTTCTGATCAGAGGTCTGAAGGTATTATTGGGTCCCTCAAATTTAATAATTTAATAATTATAATCAAATCAAATCAATAATTTAATCATCAAATTTAATAATTTAAATTTGATGCGATGAGCACGTTCTATATTCTGGAACCAAAAACTAATGTGAGAGGCTAGAGGCTCAAGTATCTCTTGATCTTCAGTGTAAATATCCAGTGTTCATAGTCTGTAGAGTGGAGGCTAACAATATCTTCATGGGGGTAGGTTTGTGAACATATCTGAAGTAGAATCAGTAGTGAATAACTGTGAGCTCTAATGTTATCTCTATGGATGTAAATAATTTACTGATAAACCAATAGTGACGACAATACTGAAATGGTTTGATTCTTTATTAATAAATGTGAGGAAATCTTCGGTAGTGATATTCATTCCCAATATCCGAAACACAATGTTGAAGATTATTAAGGGAACAAATTCGTTCGTTATTTTGGAGTTTAGCGGCCATACAAGATTACGCGTAACATGATTCCGCGTAAGTCAGCCCGATATGCTTATCGTAATTAAAGCTCGCAACATAGCCTGTTTGGTTCTACTTTCTCACAGTTTCTTAAAGATCAAAGTTTGGAGCATTAATCGGTCTTATTGTCCCTATAGAAGTCATAAGAAGGTTTATAATGCGCTTAGGACTCCTCAACAAACTCCTGCGTGCAGGGCCATAGAAAGCCTCCACGACTTCCCTGACGACTGATCTCAAGCCACGACTTCCGGCGAAAGTTGAATAAGTTGCAAACAAAAAAATTTCCTCTACGAGCGATCGAAGACCAAGTCCGTCATTGTCAAACGCAATAGATGATCTACTTTGGACGAGCTTCCTTTGCGCCCAGTGATCCTGTCCGAAAAGATTAAGAAGCGGGGATCTTCGTGGCAGTCGCGATCTGATAAATCGTGGCAAGTTATTTTTCAATATGAAGACCACATTTGAATTTCATTTCGTTCTCTCATTCTGTAGGTCTGTCAGAGCTCCCGGTGATGTATTATTGAAACGACAAGATGGTTCATCAAATGAATTGAGAGAATCATGCATTTTGATGTCTCATGGCAGACTCAAAGTCATCCAAGAAGGACAGTTGAGTGGCACGATGGATGATCGCACTCAACGGAAACACAAGCATCAACAATTAAAAGTGAAGAATTAAAGAACGTGAAGGCATGGATGGATTTAAAAATATCAATTTATTTACTTTAATCTAGCATTTACATCAAGCTAGAAGGTATCTAGATATCCAATGCTAAGTGTGGGTATAAGCAGGACTCTCCTAACAAAAAATAGCATTCTCAACTTCACATTTTTCATCATTGATCCACCACATGTAATCTGCACCATCAGGTCAATAAGATAGAACACTTTCAAAGCGTATTCTTTCTCAGAATTTAATTTTTCAAAATCGAAATGTTATTCTATCCCCAACTCTCCCATCAACGGGAATGACCGCAAGCACAATTAATATGAATTGGTTATTTTCCAGGACACGCATTCATAAATTGTAATCCAAGCATTATATGATGATCTGACATAAATGCTAATAAGCCAACAAGTTGCCTTAGGTTGTTGGCGGCAATAAATGACGATGATTTTTTTATAGAGACGCATTCAGGAGGGCATCTAGTGTAGCGAAATGTATTAACTAATATTATTGCTTGTTCACGAGAAGCCAACACTTGAAACAAATTTAAGTTTCATCTGAATTTACAGTAGTTTTTTTACCTGCGCATCTTCATTGAATTTAAATTTACCAGGCAAGCACCGAGCAAATGGATAATTGGATGTTCTGAAGTTGCCCGATAATACAGAAGGAACTTTTCTCCACTGAAGTTGTACACTTTAGCGAGAGCGGAGAAAAATTGCTCAAGTTTTGCTATCAATTTCCGTTTATCAAAATGAGGCTAGGATGCTTAGACGAAACCCGTCCTACTAAGTTGTGCTTTAAGTAAACTTTAAAAAGAAAACTTGACGTAACCGTGGTGCTGGAATATATGTTACTAAGCAGATCCATTATATGCCCCGACTAAAAACTGTCCTGGAATAGCGAGGTTCCCCAAATGAAGTTACTCCTTCACACTGACAAAAAAGAATCTTGTTAATTCACTATACGATGAAATTGAGTTCAATTAAAAGAATAAATGTAAAGATTTTGATTACAAATGAACCTTATACGTATTTAGCTCGTCATCGGTCATGGAACTTTTTGAAAACGACGTTGGAAGAAAAATTAATGTATTCAATTTCTAAATGGCTTTTTAACGGAAAGAAAATTGTGTAATTCTAATCAGCAGTTTTGAATTCTACTACAATTGGTCATTGAAAAAAATGCGTAGATTTAAAAATAGGTTTACATGAATATCAACACTTGCAGGATGAATTAACGACTCCCCTTGTATCAAATATCCATGGATGTCATTAAAACCTGTTGAAGATAATTTCCAAATAAACAAGGTCGTCGTCATCAGAATTTAATTTTTTCGTGCGGCATCACCACAAATATACAAATTAATGATTACATACGATATTCATATCTGAAATTAAAATTATTGGTCTATAATTAGAGCACAACCATGTGAAAGTTTTAATTGTTATCTAAAAACAATCATGGAACATATAATCTAAAAATTGTTATAAAGAACTCGATTACTTACTGGCATCACTCGTTAACTCATTTAGGCATATTAGTAAACTAAACTACGAATCGTCCCCGAACAACTTTTAAAAAAATTGTTAAAGTCAGAACTATAATTCCATTAAATTAACCCCATGCATTTTGTGAAGTTATCGCGAACACTGTCATAAATTTGCTCTGTGATTTTACTGAAAAAATCATAGAAAACTTTCCCTAAACACCGTGTAGATGATATAATAGTCCATACAAAGATGATGTAGCAATTGTTCAACAAGCGATGACGATAATAATTGAAATTGCGTTGAAACCTCATGCGCTGAAATAGAGACGCACACAGTATCTCTGTCACTGCGCACACAGCATCTCTATCACTGCGCACACAGCATCTCTGTCACTGCGCACACAGCATCTCTGTCACTGCACGCACAGCATCTCTGTCACTGTGTATGCAGCATCTCTGTCACTGCGCACACAGCATCTGTGTCACTGCGTACGCAGCATCTCTGTCACTGTGCACACAGCATCTCTGTCACTGCGTACGCAGCATCTCTGTCACTGCGTACGCAGCATCTCTATCACTGGACGCACAGCGTCTCTGTCACTGCGTATGAAGTATCTCTGTCACTGTGTACGCAGCATCTCTGTCACTGTGTACGCAGCATCTCTGTCACTGCGCACACAGCATCTCTGTCACTGCGTATGAAGCATCTCTGTCACTGTGTACGCAGCATCTCTGTCACTGTGTTCGCAGCATCTCTGTCACTGCGCACACAGCATCTCTGTCACTGCACACACAGCATCTCTGTCGCTGCACGTACAGCATCTCTGTCACTGGACGCACAGCATCTCTGTCACTGCGCACACAGCATTTCTGTCACTGCATGCACAGCATCTCTGTCACTGCGAATGAAGCATCTCTGTCACTGCGCACGCAGCATCTCTGTCACTGCGCAACCAGCATCTCTGTCACTGGACGCACAGCGTCTCTGTCACATTGCCCTGTCTTGCAGAGATCAGATCAGCGATTCTCCGGACGAGGCTTGCCAGAAGGCACATTTGGTGGCCAGTCGGAGGTTGCGGCAAATTGAAGGCCCCATAA